TTTTTTACAAAAACAGAACATGAAATAAAAACCAGCTGAAAGGAAACAAACGAAATTTTAAAAACAAAATACGAAAAGTTCACCAGAGCTAATATGACATGGGCAGAGCAGAGGAGGACCACCAAGTGTTCCAAAAATTGTGGCGAAGTCAACGGCGATGAGAACGATGTCGGCAGTTTAATGATGATGACATAAACCCAAAGCTGCAGAGGTGTAGTGTCGAACTAGTGATATGCATATATTGGGATGATGGGGAAGATTTTTTCAAGGACCATAATGCGTGGATTTTTTAAAGAAGACTTTTTTCAAGTCATCAACAAGGCGTGGATTTTTTAAAGAAGACTTTTTTCAAGTCATCAAAAAGGCGTGGATTTTTTAAAGACTTTTTTCAAGTCATCAACAAGGTGTGGATTTTTTAAAGACTTTTTTCAAGTCATCAACAAGGCGTGGATTTTTTAAAGAAGTTTTTTTTCAAGTCATCAACAAGGCGTGGATTTTTTAAAGAAGATTTTTTTCAAGTCATCAACAAAGCTTGGATTTTTTAAAGAAGATTTTTTTCAAGTCATCAACAAGGCTTGGATTTTTTAAAGAAGATTTTTTTCAAGTCATCAACAAGGCGTGGATTTTTTAAAGAAGATTTTTTTCAAGTCATCAACAAGGCGTGGATTTTTTAAAGAAGATTTTTTTCAAGTCATCAACAAGGCGTGGATTTTTTAAAGAAGATTTTTTTCAAGTCATCAACAAGGCGTGGATTTTTTAAAGAAGATTTTTTTCAAGTCATCAACAAGGCGTGGATTTTTTAAAGAAGATTTTTTTCAAGTCATCAACAAGGCGTGGATTTTTTAAAGAAGATTTTTTTCAAGTCATCAACAAGGCGTGGATTTTTTAAAGAAGATTTTTTTCAAGTCATCAACAAGGCGTGGATTTTTTAAAGAAGATTTTTTTTCAAGTCATCAACAAGGCGTGGATTTTTTTAAGAAGATTTTTTTTCAAGTCATCAACAAGGCGTGGATTTTTTAAAGAAGATTTTTTTCAAGTCATCGACAAGGCGTGGATTTTTTAAAGAAGATTTTTTTCAAGTCATAAACAAGGCGTGGATTTTTTAAAGAAGATTTTTTTCAAGTCATCAACAAGGCGTGGATTTTTTAAAGAAGATTTTTTTCAAGTCATCAACAAGGCGTGGATTTTTTAAGGAAGATTTTTTTCAAGTCATCAACAAGGCGTGGATTTTTTAAAGAATACTTTTTTCAAGTCGTCAACAAACAAGGCGTAGATTTCTTAAAGAATACTTTTTTCAAGTCGTCAACAAACAAGGCGTAGATTTCTTAAAGAATACTTTTTTCAAGTCGTCAACAAACAAGGCGTAGATTTTTTAAAGAATACTTTTTTCAAGTCGTCAACAAACAAGGCGTAGATTTTTTAAAGAATACTTTTTTCAAGTCAGCAACAAGGCGTAGATTTTTTAAAGAAGATTTTTTTCAAGTCATCAGCAGTGATTTATAAAAATAATTTGTCACGACCTGGATTTTTATAAAAATAATTTGTCACGACCTGGTTTTTTATAAAAATAAATTGTCACGACCTGGATTTTTATAAAAATAATTTTTGAAGACCTGGATTTTTATAAAAATAATTTTTAAAGACCTGGATTTTTATAAAAATAATTTTTTTACGAACTAAACTAAAAAATAACTTTTCACGAACTAAGATAAAAAAAAAATAATTTTTTTACGAACTAAACTAAAAAATAATTTTTCACGAACTAAGATAAAAAAAAATAATTTTTCACGAACTAGAGGAATAAGTCTCCTTCCCATCGCATATAAAGTACTATCCAGCGTAATGTGTGAACGACTGAAGCCAATGGTCAATGACATTATTGGACTATACCAATGTGGCTTCAGACCTAGATGCTACTATGGTCTGAGCAAAGAACTCAAAAGCAAGGCCATCTCCCGCCAGACCAAACTCACACTCTACAAAACGCTGATACTACCCGTGCTATTATATGGATCTTATGCATGGGTACTTGCAAGCAGATGAGGCAGCTCTTGCAGTGTTTGAGAGTATAATTCCCCGAAAGATATATGGGGCGATCTGCGTTGACGGTGAATATCGCCGTCGAATTAACCATGAGTTGTACCAGCTATTCTCGGACATCGATATTGTTAGACGTATTGAACTTCAGTGACTACTAGGCTAGGTCATGTTGTGAGAATGGATGATGATGCCTCAGCCCAAAAGGCATATAAAAGTGAACCAGCTGATGGTGCACACAGAAGGGGAAGGCCAAGAATACTTTGGAAAGATCAAGTCGGAGACAACATCTCCAAAAATGGTCTTTCAAATTGGAAAAACTGCACAAAAGACCGACGCGCCTGGAAATCTTGAATGAATCTATCGACGACGAAATTTTTATAAAAAATATTTTTTCAATGACTATCAAAAGGCCTGCATTTTTATACATTCGTTTAGCGACTACAAATTCAATCATATTTTTTCCCGACACATGAATTTAGATTTTCCCCCTCCTCTATATGTAAAAACCCACGCCACTGTTTCGATAATAAAAATAGAGAGAATTGCTACGTCAGACATAAGCAGCTAGCTAGTTAGGCTAAGCCATAAAACTAGCCACACATAAACAAACAACACCCTAAAACACAAGAGCAGAACGACGATAACAAGAACAAATAGTAAAAAAATATAATTCAATTCAAATATTTCAAAAACAAAATTTCCAATAATTAGTTTTCTACATAATTTACTAGTATAGTTTAACTTTAATCAATAGCAACAACTTACCTTATAATAGGCACCATTATCGAGCCGAACTTCTACTACTAAATCATCCATGGTGATGTCGCCGCTGACGCTGTTGGCAATGATGATGACAGTAGTTGATGTTCACAAAGAGAGAACGAACACACAAACAAACAATAAGCGGGTGGAATATATAAAACGATATTCAGAATGATTTGATGTTTGATGATATTTGTTCTGCTGCTGATTTTTAATTGATGATGATGTATTATGGAATACTGGATTTTTGTTGTTTTTTTTACGTTAGACAAGCAGTTGTAGGAGTTGGTTGCGGAAAGAGGTAGAAAAGGTTGATAATTATGAACTTCTTCAGAGAGCAATAATAAAAAAACACAGCGACGACAAATATACGATGACGACAGTGTAGTGTTGCAACGTTATTTGAATTTGTTTGCGGTTCTTCCCCCAAATAAGCAAAAAAATTAATGGTGCTAAAAATTCTTATCGAAGCGTAATTCTTTGAGTAGAATTATTTTTTTTTTCTTTTTTGTTTTGTTTGTTTTTTGGTGTAATGGGAATTGAAGAATTTGATTTGTTTGTTGTTAAGATTGTTTCAGTCTTGTATCTGTGTTCGGTGTGTTGCCGGCTTTTTTGTTGTTGTCTTCTATCGTAGAAAATAATGTTTTTGTTTTGTTTGCTGAATTGTTTTTTTTTTTTTAAATTTGCTCAGATTCTGTTATTTCTTGTATTTTTTGAACTGTTATCCTTTTGGATTGACGGAGTTTTTCGCTGCAGGTGGTGTAGTAGAGTTTAGATGTAATGCAACTATAAAGAGAAAAAAATTATTGTTTTTATAAAATCGAGTATTATGATCAGTAGGAAATTTTAAATAAAATATTAATTCATAAAATTTTTGTTGGTTTTTAGTTAGTATCCTTGAAACATTTTCATTTTCACAACGAAGCTTTAAACTAACTTTTGTTCAGGACATATGTAATCAAAAACAACGTGTAACAATCGGAGCTGGATTGTCATATAACCGAATTTTTCATCAATCTAGCAATAGCAATACAGGTCAAACATAAGTCAACATTTATGGTCAAATGGAACAAAATTTGTTGTAGAATTAAAGTAACCGGTAATCTTTATATAATTGATCAAAAGAATCGTATTCGTCATTTCCAGTCGACATATGGGATATGTGTCAAACATCGTGTCAGCAATTTCGTTTCTGTATGTACCGAATAAGGAGGCTGCATATACTGATCTTAGTGCGGCAGAACCACCGAGTTTGTCTGGATAACTGCTGAAGATCAATTCTAATCTGATGTAGTACTGTTCAAAGAGTCTCCTCAAGTTGATAATATCAAGTGTCACAATATGGCCTGCTGTTGAAGTTCTCTGTGTTTTTAACAAAGTCTACTTTGCCAATGCCCAATATTTCTTAGGCTAACTTTAGTCTGGATTGAATTTGGGCCTCTAATAGACACCTCAGCAAATTAAATGCTACACCTCTGTGATGCAATTTAAAATCACTTGGTACCATGAGGACATTTGCATGAGGTCATTTATGTTTGCCACACAGTGGAAGATGTTCTGGATTTTTAAAGAATTTCAAGATCCTTTATAAGACTTGTTCTCATACCTAGGAGACTACATCAACAAACAAAATTTGTAGCATCTGTGGATCGTTAGGCCCAAGTGTTATTGTACAGAAGCCTATCCATTCTCAAAGTTGTTGTCGTAGCAGCCCTACTGCTTTTATACAATTGACTGATGTGATAGGAGTTGGAAAAGTAAGACTCGAATCGATTCAGATCGTAGAACACTCTGCCGTTTGTAGCAGTCGTTAAATGAGTGGGACTTAGGTCGTTTTGGATCGTAGGTCTGCCTCTCGTGGATAAATTAATGTTATCACTATTGCAACGATATTAAGTTTATACCCTTGAGCGGAAATGCAGTTTAATACTATCGGAAGCTGTAGTATTAAACTGCAAATAAAATAAAATGTGGTCTAAATAAACGGTCTCGAAGGAAAACGACCTAGTACCAATGATCTTCTGGACTGACGACGGGAAGCTTTGACGCTGGTCCTGCAACTATCCCAATAACATAGGTTACTGGTCTCCTTTCCTTAATGTTGACATCCTAACGCTGGGGTATTATGCGAAGTCGTGCCCATCAATCGAACGGAGCCTCAAAAAGTAGGTAACTCGTCGTCCGAGACCGTTAGTGATATGAGCCCTTCCAAGACAGATAATGCCAGTAGTAGTGCGCCGACCTCAGCGGACAAACCGGTGCTCCTGAGGCAGAAGGCCAACGAGGCGTCAGTACCAAAAATTGCCACATTCAAAGAAGCCATGGATAGGATACGTAGTTAAGGACGCCCACATGATCAGCTAGAAGATATACTGAATTTGCGCTAAATCAAATGTGATTGTTTAGACTCTGCTCTTTTAGTAGTGCTATCATAAAATAGTTGGTACTTTTTTGTTATTTTAATATTATTTTGTTAATTTTACTTCAAGGGGAACCAATTTTATAGGGAAATTGCATAAACATTTTTATAATTGTATATAGGATATTTTTTTTTAATTCTTTATTGTATATTACAACATTGTTAGTTAGTATATTGTAATGTAAAATTGTTTGGATTTATTACCTTATGCATTACTATGTATGAAATAAATGAAATAAATCAAGTATCATCTTAAACCTTTGTGAAAAAAAGACTTAGCATTCGGTCTCGCATGACATTGGGATGATGAAAATCTGACCTATTAACAAGATTTATGACATTTTCATCACAAATAGGTCCATATCTCAGGCCTATTTCGTCATTAGGGCGACGAGACCTGCCTGTGCTCTAAATGCCAAATGACATGTTTCTGAAGAAAAAAGTCAATTTTTGAATCAGCTGTGAAGAAATTTTTGTGGACAAAAACCACTCATCATTCGGTCTCGAATGTTCCGATAGTAGTCAAGATAGATAATGTGAAGGCGGTCATTGGATAATGTGAAAGCACTTAACGAAAGGAGTAATCGATTTCATCCAAACTTTGCACATCTTAACATTTCTTCCAAACATAGTTCAAGTTCGAAGATGGGGAATATCGGTCCACTCCACAAAATGGCCAAAATTTTCCGATTTGAACCAAACTTTGCATAATCTATTATCTTTACAAAGCCTATATCAAGTCCAAAGGTGGGACCCATTGGTCCACTCCTTCTGGTACCTCCCCCACAAAGGGTCAACATTTTCAATATTTATAAATCCAATAGCAGGCGAATGGAATGCCCGATTTGAACAAAACTTTGCACAGCCTGTTATCTTTACCAAACCTAGATCAAGTCCAAAGGATCAAGTCTGAAACATCCTTGATAAAAACATATACCTAATAAGAACAGAATAATAAAAGCTGTATGTTACTGGGAAGACCTCCTCCGCAAACTATAGGGTGAGGGTATATAACTGTCGGAAACACCGACAGACACTTTTTTACTGGTCTTATCGAAGAAACCGATACTTCCTGAGATATGGGCCTCCAAATTTTCAAAAGGACCCTTTCATAGCTCTCAAAAACAAAGTGGATTTCAATTAAAAGCAACAGAAAAGAATATTGCAAAAAATACACACAATACATTAGGCCTCTAATCAATGCAATAAACCTTTAAAATGATAATGGAGACCCATATCTCAGGAAGTGTGGACTACTTTGATAATGGAAATACATTTTTGGGCTTAACTCTAGTTTAGTAAAAACGATCAGATTTTTCTGAAATGTTTTCCAGAGGTATGTATTTTTACCCTAACTATGGGGATATCTTTTTTCTTGGGGGACGTACCCGGTTACCCGGTTATTTGACCCGGAAGTTTGGGTACGGGTACCCGGTAATATCCGGTTCTACGGATCCGTTGTAATCAGGGTCTCAAGGTCTAGCTATGAATTTCAAAACGACCGCCACCGAGCCCTGAACTTTACTTTTTCCAAATTTTCTTAAGAGTGTATCTTTGAAAACTTGACCATAGGAACCCATAAAGCCATCAACTGGACTTATGCCGAAAATTTGAATAGATAAAACACTTGTATTCAATTAGGTTCCGGAACATAGCATATAAAATAGCCAGCAACTGTTATCGAATGGACAATATTACATCTAAGGGGTTATATGACACGATATAATTTTCATTTCTTGGTGACATAAGCATCCACATCGACTGGAAATTTTTCAAATGGTCATTCGGTTGTAGAACTACACCTTAGTTACGCGTAATTTCAAAACACGGGTTATGAGGGAAGCACATAATAATTATAGCTTGTTTTCTATCATCATCATCATCAGGAGAACATTAAAAATAGAACACATTTAAATTTTTTTCTATGCCGGCCCACCCGCTATTTTTGAACTGTGTTCTATTACTCGCACTTCATGCAATACCCGTCAGTGAACCAGCCAGTCAGTCAGCCATTCAACCAACCAGATATCCTCTTGTTATTTTTCTAAATGTGTTGTTTGTTGTGTATACGATCGAAAAGCCATTAGAAGAAGAGGTAGAGCGGGGGTGGGGTAGGCGACAAACGGCATTCATACAAGTTAATATTTTGTTAGGTATTTTTTTTTTCGAATAGGTGGTATTTAGTTTCAAAATTCTAATATTTCTTTATTTTTTCTTGTTCCTTCTCTCTAATTGCATTGAAACAAAATAGTACACACACAAAATTTTGGGCCTCTTCCCATCAGAGGAACGCACAACTACACCAAACAACACAGCCTGCTGCTGGTGGCTGCTTTACGCCTTTACTTTCTTTCTTCCGGTAAACACTTGAAAATAGACGAAACAACAAAAAAAAAATCATCACACGCACACACAAACAAACACACACTCAGCAGCAAAATGAAAAACAAATTTTTCCAAATTCTTTTTTTCTCTGCTTTGCTTTTCTTGTCATTCGTTTGTTAGCCTTTTTTTCTATTTTATTTTAATATTGCTTTCGTGTTTGCTATTTTCGTTATTCTTTCTTTTAGTTTTTCGTATTTGTCATTTTCCTTTCGTTTAGTGTTCTGGTAATGCTGCTGATGCTTCTTCTTAACGCCAGCGACGACAATGAACTGTCTCTCCCATACTCATTAATCTCATATCTGTTTTTTTTCTTCTATTGCAAAAAAAAGAATTGCAGCGGCTGGGCGGCAAACAAAAAAGACAAACTAAAGCAAAACACCAACACACACTATTGTAATCCTCTTTTTTAGTTGGCTAAATGCAAATCCATTCGTGATTTTTTATGTTATTTTTAATTGAAACTATTTCTTTTTTTCTTTGCTTTATTAATTCAACGGAGACACCATTGAATTGTGGTCGGTCTCCTTCCTTTCCGATTTGCAAGAACCACACAAACACACACACACACTCAAAAACGGATTAGCGGCGTTGTTGTATTTTCCAACAGACTTCGTTCTCTAATCGCAAAATTTTTTTCTTATTGCATTCTTTTCTTTTTGCATGTAGCTGTTTTTCATTTGCCATTTTTCTTTTTTTCAATTTTTGCACATTTTTACACTCAATTTCAACACTCACTATTCCAATTGAGTTTATTAACGGAATTCGTATTATTTTATTTAGATTTTCTGCAAGATTAGTTGTGTTTAATACGCTTTTTTACAGAACGCGTTAATTTTTTTGCTCCTTCTTGCTTGAAAATTCCTTTCCTTATGATTAGGGTGATGTAGGTCGACTTTTGCACTATTCGATTAATCGAAATGAAAGTGGGAATAGGGAGCTAAAAGAATAAGAATGTTGTGCTAAAAGGGAATTGCAAAGGTACGAATTATGGTAAAAGGGAATATACAACTATTGTTGCCGTTACACTATGTTTACAAAAGGTACGACAGTTGGAATCATGTATAAATTGCCAAAAATTTCAAAAGTTAAAGGCATGACAAAAATGAATCCGTTGCATTATTAATACAACAACCACATATGGACTTAAATATATGTTATCGCGGTATGGGCTCCTGATTACAACGATATACTTTTTCTTGCGGAAACCCGGAAATATGGAACTTCAAAGTTCCTCAAAGTCCATACATCCTGAAATATAGGTCCAATGGTTTTTTCATCGATATGAAAATTACATTTTTGTATGCAGGGCCAAAACCGTATTGTCCTTGTAAAAAATAGGGGAAAATACAAGGGCCCTAGCAGAAATTTAAAGGTCCATACCTCAGGGCCAAAATAAGAGCCTCAAGAACTACCTATATTACCGCGACCGGGTTCTAAATTAGCCTAATTTCGTTGGAACCGATGAATTTCCTATTTAAAATTAACTATAGAAATATGGATAACATTTTTAAATGCTTGAGGATCTGAAGATCGATAGCTTTCCATTCGAAAGAAGAATCGTATGCGTTTATGTTGCAACCGTTTACATATTCGATATTCCGGTTCTGACTCCTCGATTTTTATGTCCAAAAAAGTTGCATTCTAAATTGTCTGCAGTCAAGCAGACTCGGAGACAGATAAGTGGGTTTAGATGGACAGTTGAAAATATGCAGCGTATCGTGAGGTCATAGTCTATATGCAGAGCATGTGTATGGTATTATGTTGTCAATTTGGGCCCAATAGGGGCTAAACTATTCCCGTTGGTCTAGGCAGCTCTGGTGACTTTGCAGCTATAGTTTGTGGATTGGCATTTCATTCGCAAATCCCACCGGCGTTGCATAGAATATCACCGATCGATCTATTGCTTTGTGGGAAGTCAACCAGATTTCTTTATCAGTACCCCAAGAGCTGCTGCAGGATAGCGACTTAAAAACCTTGTGCTTGTTTCTCCTCTTGTCCCAAATAGCAATGGCATGCACTACTTAAATAAGCTATCGAAAGTTAACAACGCCCCCCCCCCCCCAAATTTTGGACTAGTTTGTTGTCGGAATCTGTGCACCATCGATTATGATGTTCAACGGTAGCTTCATTTCATGTGGTGAACATGAGGCTGAGTGTTTGGCGGCGGATATCTTCAAATCCTAAAATCATACAATCATGCCATAGATATGACCCCACCATGGGGAACTTCTTGTTTCACTTTACGGGCTTTAGACTTATCGAACATTTCAGAGTTTAGACTTATCTAACATTTGGTCTGTTCCCGTACTGCGAGAATCTACTCGATTTTACTATTTTCTTCGATATCATAAAAGAAAATTCGTTATCGTAGTAAAAAGTATTACATTCTTGCAGTACGGGAACAAACAAATTGTCATCTTCGAAGGCATTAAAGTCTCCAAAACTGTTCTACAGAACGGCCTATTCTGGTTATGTCCTCTGCTTATATGTGTGATTATGGCGTGTCATGCTGTTGTTGTGCTCTGCATTT